GCACCTCCCCTCACCCCTCTAGCCCCCAATGCCCTTCCCCTCTCCTCTCCCAGCATCACCCTGTCCCCCCTCCCACTGACACCTCCCCTCCTGCCCTTTCCCTCATTGCCTGCACTTGGCCTCCTGGGATTTGTCTCTCCTCCACCCTGTCCATTGGTGCCTTCCCCTTTCTTCTCCTCCTGACCTCCTCCCCTCAGCACAAGCCCCTTCCCCATATTTTTCCCCTCCCCACAGCCCAGCCCAGCCCCTTCCCCCAGGGCCAAGCAAAGCATTCCCCTCCCCTTTTTTGTTGTCTTTTACACATTTGCATTTTGCAATGGAGTTTTTTTTGTTTGTTTTCATTTTTGTCCCAGCATTTTAGCCCTATAAATAGCAAACAGCATTTTCATTTGTTTTTTCCATAAAGGCAAAGGCGCTTCAAGTGAACTCCCCCTTTCACTCGCTGCCCTGTCCAGCCCCTCCCTATGGGCAAGCTCCACTCACTCCCGACCTACAGGGGAAACAGGGTGCAGGGACAGCACAGAGCCAGAGGGGTGCAGGGAATGGTGGCGCGGGGAACAGGAGGCACAGAGGCAGAGGGATGCAGGGATTGGGGGGAGCACTGTGCGGTGGAGGCACAGGGAATGGGACATGGGGGAGGGGCAGAGGGATCAGGGTCTAGGGGCAGTGCAAGAAATGGGCAGCACAGATCCGGAGGGGGTGGGGAGCAGGGTGCAAGGGCGGCAGGAGCCAGAGGGAGAGCAGGGGATCCAGGTGCAGGGGCAGCATGGGGAATGGGCGACAGGAGTCAGATGGGGCACAGAGCGGGCGCAGCCACACCAGCATCCTGGCATCTGCCAGCTCCGCCTCCTCGCACCGCAGCTGCACGCAGGCAGCCTGGCGCTGAGAATCGCCGCAGTTCGCCCTCCCAGCAGCGCTCTGCTCCTTCGCCAGCTGGCGGATTGGATGGGGCCGTGCCGCCCAGAGTGCGGGCTTCAGCCAGTCCATTACAACGGCCCTCCAGGCCAGTCCACCCCTGCACTCACCAGCTGGCAAAATCTACTCACCATGGGCGAGTGCATTTGTCGAGCCCTGCTTAGGACTTCAACCAGCCCCCCTCACACACTAACCAGGAGAAATCAAAATACACCTGCCTCTGCACAGGCCCTGGCAGCAGAAGTCCCTCCTTCCCCTCCATCTTCCACCTGGAAGTCCTGAGGCACTCATGCCCTGGAAAGCTGCCCAACCGAGGCAGCCAAGACCCGCACCCCCACACCTCCACTAGGCAGGGAAGGTGAAGGAGGAGGCGGGACGCAGGCTGGCAGTCCCCACGCAGCGGAGTCTGAGCACTGAACCCTTACCTGTCCTGGATGTAATACTGCATATCAAGGTCATTGATCAGAAACGGATTGCACAGCTTGGCGTAAGCGACTGCCTTATCCAGGGGAAACCCTGAAAGCAAACACAGCAAAGGTGCTATCTGGGTCCGTGCCCACTGCCAGGCCTGAGGGCAGGGGCTGCCGGAGACGTTACCTTTCGAGTGGAAGGAGATGAGGCAGTGGCAAGGCGGCCAATTCTCCACTGGCTCATTCAGAATGACGTCTTCCCCCATGATCACCACAGTGATGTACTCGAACTTGCACAGGCGCTCCAGGATCTGAGTCATGGGCTTGGACTTGGACTTTTTGGTCATGGCGCAGATTCCAACCACGATCTGCCGTTCTGGAGGCTGAGGGGAGCAGGCAGATTAACATGGAGCCAGCTTGCTCAGCCAACTCCAATAGCAACTGTTGCCTCTATATGCCATTTGCAGACAGACAAGGGGCTTTCCCCACACCAGACTGCTTCATTCTCTTTGGATCCCCTGAGACATGGGAGGCTTCATGATGGGGGTCTAGCTTACGTTTCCATGCTCCCATGCACACTGCCTGGTCCGTACTGCCCGCAGGCTGTAACGGCCTAGGGTCTCACCAGTAACCACACGTAAAAACCGGGGGGAGGTGGGAGACACGAGCACCAAACCCTCCTTACCGACTCCGACTCCTCATCATCCTCAAAGAAATCGATCTCATCCGTCTTCATGTTTGATCCCACGAAATCTGTCTCATCATCTCTGGTGCCAACAAAGAACCTAGGAGTAGAGCTCTCGCCTTCATGGGAAGTCGCCAGGGACGACATTACAGCCTGGCTGGCCGACCATCCCGCTCTGGAATCATCATCACGTACAAGCCAGGGTAAGAGCCCCCACACTGGGGAGCGAGGGAGGGCTGATGGGCTCAGAGCAGGGGCTAGTGCTGCGGGGAGGAACCCAGGAGCAGAATGGCAGCACTGGCGGAAGGAGCCTGGCGATGGAGGAAGACGACGTGAGGCTGGGTGGGAGCAGAAGCCAGGGATTCTGGAAGGTGCCCTGAGAGGTCGGGGGAAGCGCAGCATCCACTGTCATTTCCAGCAGGTACCTCCAGGCAGCAGTTAATCCAGCGCCACTAGCGGGAGGGGAATGGCGTCATTGCTAGCGTGGAGGAGTTCGCTGGGGTGGGCCTGAGCCCTTGCAGTGCTGTGCGTGCCAGGCTGCTGGCTACACACCCTGAGGACACCAGCTGATACGCAAGAGGGAGGGAGAGAATGAAGACTGCTTCCCGGTCCCCACGTTTCAATTCCGCTGCTAGTTAGGAAGGCCTGCAGAGAGAGACCAGTCACAAGAGGCCCTTAGGTTAGCATTGCGGGGTAGCAGCCGTAGAGAGTGGGAAGCAATATTTAGAACAAGTGGCAAAGGAAGGCTTTCCTGAGATCTAAATCTGGCTCACCGCATAAGTAGGTCACTATGAGCTCAATGGACAAGAAATAGCCCCTCCCCTCCTTCCAAACGGTGGCACAGTTTGCCCCACATTAGAGTTTAAACATTTTTTTAAAGTTCAATTACAAATAGCTTTACATCCACCACATCTGTTCTCTAGCTAACGCTTATTCTCAACATTCTGCTGACCTGCAATGTTACGCTGCTCCCACAGCACGTACACGATCCCACAGGCCTTCCGCACGCTACTCCCCTTCTCAGACGCCTATCTAGGAGACCCAGGTTTGTCTACACAGAGAAGTCACAGCAACTTAAATCAATTTAGTTACTTCGCTGCAACCTTCTTGTGTGGAGGCAAGTCAGTGGAAGAGCATAGCAGAATCGGACTGGTTATAATTTGCCGTGAAAGCAAATGGGTGAGGGGAGATTCACTGGTACTTGAAGAGGTTTCTCTTACTCAGGAGACTGACTATTGCCTCAGACATTGAGCTTGCAAGAGCTAACCTAGCTTTGCCAGGCCAAGGCAACCCAGCATGTGGAATTATTGAAGCTGCTTGAAGACAGGTACAGAGGGCATCCTTGAGAATCGTGAACTGATGCAGAGAGGAAGCAGGTAGACAGAATGCATAGGCCCAAGAATTTAACATTGCAGGACTCCATAAAGGAGGGATTTTGGTGCTCAGAAGGCAGAGGGAAGAGAGGCAGGAACAGAAGCCCAAGTCCAGGAGGGAAGAAAGGGCGACCACATCTAATGCTGCACTAAGGTCAATGGAATGAAGGGTGAGAAAAGCAAGCAGCAGCCAGCACCAACCAGAAGTTCCTCTCCTCTACTAGAGAACTACTGCTGTGCTATGGCCAAACCAAGCCCCTGCCAGCAGTATGGGGGCACCCTCTCTGTGCAGCCGCCTATCTCAGCCTCCCCACCACTCTGCCCCCTAGAACTCTCACCATTGCACTAAGACCAGCACAGCTCCTCCAACAGTAGGAGCACAATCAGGCCCCAGGTAGCCACTGACTGTTTTAGCAGCACATCACCCTGAGCGGCTCGGAGTAGCATCGGGGACAGCGATGATGCCTTGCGGACACCAGCACTCCCTCAGATACTCCACCTGTGACAATGAAGCAATGAAAGATGTAGGAGAGCCTTTAAGGGAAAGCACCGTATTTCAGTACAATCTACAGCACGATCCAAACAGTGATAGGTCACCCGACAGTCTGCCAAGGCAACTGGCACCCCTTACGCAGACACCAATGTCAGCCCCATGGAGAGTTTCTATCAGACACCCTCTCCTGAGGGTCTGAAACTGTGTAAACTGGACACATTCTTGGCTTCAAGATCTCTACAGCAGCAGTGGAACCTGGGCACACAACATTCAACCCCTTTTGTATTCTACAGCCATTGCCAAGACTTCGTGTGTCTTCTCGATCACATCACCAGGACAGGACGCCACACACCCTGACTGCTGCATTCCTAGCTAGGTCCGTACGTAGCCCTCCGCACCACAGCATCTAAGCCTCTCAGTCATTAGAAAACTTGATGTTCACAAGAGCCCTGGAACACAGGGCAGAACAAGCAACTTATCAAGTCACAGAAGTCTGACAGAGCTGGAAACTGAATCCCAACGTCTTGATGCCCAGAATAGTACGCTACAGGGCTGTGTCTAGGCTGCATCCCTTTTTCGTAAAAGGGATGCAAATTAGACCTATCGCAATTGCTAATGAAGCGGGGATTTAAATCTCCCCCGCTTCATTAGCATAAAAATGGCTGCCGCATTTTTTCAGCGTGGAGCTTTGCCAAAAAAAGCGCCAGTCTAGACGCGGATCTTTCAGAAAATAAAGTATTTTCCGAAAGTTCCCTTATCCCTCTTAAAACAGGGACTGCTGGACGCAATGTGAGCTGAAACTGAGCATGCCCAGCTCCGTCCCGGCTCACGCAGGGTCCAGGAGCTACCTGTCTGCAGACCCAACTCTTGCTACATTTGAACCGCAGAGCCACAACAGGGGTAGCGCCTTCCCTTATCAGCTAACCGTAGTCCCGGTGGTTGGCTCGTTGAGAAGGCCCTGCATCTGCAGAGTATGGTTCAAGGCCCCTCCCCATGAGTACAGGCATTCAATCGGACGGCTTCAAGCTAAGGCAAAAGCAACAGATGCATCTGGCCTTCTTGACCTGAAGAGTTTGTTTTGCACAAGCGTGTCACTGACCAAAACCAGATTAAGGCACAGATTATAGGCCTAAAGGCCCTGCTCCTGACAGCACACGACGACACCAGCAGCTCAGCTTTCACTGCAAAATGGTTTCTTGCCCTTGTGATGGCAAAGAAACAAAAAAGATGGAATGAGCAACAGATACTGCGATGCCTGCCAGATTACACAGCGGGTCTATATTAGCTCCCTCCTGAGCTAACTCCAGGACCAGAAGGGAGGGGCCACACCAACACCATTCCAGCAGAGAACTGTGGGGCCTTGCCTAGATGTTAAAATGCACTTAGGCTAATCATATAGTCGATATAATTGGTATCGATTCGTCGATAGGACCGCTCTGCAGAGCCGCAGAGAGGGGAGCTCCAGGAGCCAGCTCAAGCTGGGACTGAGCAGTCCTGGCTCGTGCTGCAGCTCTGCATTTTAAAGAGCCTGGCCCTCTTACTACATTTCAAATGCAGCGGCACAGCAATCAGCACAAGCCAGCACGGCTCGGTCCCGGCTCGTGCCGAGTCCAGCAGCCCGTTTGCGGTGGGCTGCAATGTGTGCCACAAGCAGCCTCTGTTCACAGCAGCCAGGGCAGCAGGAAGCACCCCAGAGATAGTGCTGGTGGGAATCAGCTTTTAAGCTGGCTCTGCCCAGCACTGGCTCCTGTTCTCTCCCCACCCCCCGCTGCCTCTATGAAAGGCAGCAAGGGGGTGGGGGCGCGCAAGGGGCCCGGGGCCAGCGGGGGACTCAAGCAGTCCCCACTTCCCCATTCCCCTTGTGGTGCTTCAGTCTTTGAAACGTACAGGGGTCTCTCAGGGCTCTTGTACATGTCAAAGGCTGAACGGGTGCGCGTGGCGACTCCTTCAGTCCCTACTCACACCATTTCCCTGCTGCACCCCTGCCTGACATGGAGCTGGCTCCTGCTCCCCCTCTGATAGAGGCAGCAAGGGGGAGCGACTAGCAGAGTCACTACTGTGCTACCCAACACACTTATGCTTATCGGCTAGTCGCTTCCACCCCTAGACGAGGCTAGAAGCGTCGGTTACCCAACATGTTAACAGCACACCTTTACACCCTAGTCTAAAGGTCCCTGGGGAGGGGAAGGAGTGGCTGGACAAAACGCTCTCCTCAGACAGACGGGCCCAACACCCTTTGCACCTTGCCCTACCTCTCTGCCAACGCAGGAGAAAGACCCTTGTTACCATTCCTGTTCCTCCCAACAGGGGTGGGATTCTGCTACTGCTGCTCCCGGGAGCTGAGAAGGGGCCCGAACCTCTGCTGCCTGTCACTCACTCAGAGTGGGGCAAGGCCCCTTCCTCCCCACTAGATAGGCAGCAGGCCATGGAAGAGATCAGTAAGTTTGGATACCACAGTGCTCCAAACAGGAAATTGCTTCAGGAGGAAGACCCTGGGCACACCTGACTCCCCAAAACCCAGCAGGGAAGGTTACTGCTACTTCCAAAATAAATGTAAAGTGTTTCTCCGGCAGCTCTCCAGCAGCAAGGTTTGCCAGCACTCTGGTTAGGCCGACTCCTGCCACTCTGATGCACTCTAACCTCACATCACTACACCCCAACTCCTCCACCAAGTACTAAGCAAGTCCCCAATTGGAAATTTGAACGGGGGCTGTGTCCACATAACCCCCTCCCCCCAAGTCTTTGCCCACTCCACGATTCGTTTACACCAATAAAGAGTCAAATAGGAAAGCATCAGGAGGCCTACTGGTGCAAGGGGAAATGCTCGAGTGACCACAATTTCTGGACTCTCCACTGGTGTCACCCTTTGCAGCAACAGGCCAGTTCTCCTGGTGTTTGAAGTTATCCTCATGAGGGTCAGACAAAGACCTAAGAGAGATTCCAGGGTGGGAGGTCCCGGGCGGTATGCAGCGCTGCACACGGCACCTTGTCACGTATTTGATGGCAGCCCAAACATCTCTTAAACTTGTGTAGTATTCATTTGGTGTCATGCTTGACATGCTGAGAGCCTTTGGCACTGATACTCATCAAAACCAGACCGTGCCCTTTCAGAAGAGAGCCATGGGAGACTAGCGCAGGACTAAGCTCATCTCCATCAGCCTGCAGACCATAGGGAGCATCCCACAAAGCTTGGCCCCAGGCTCAGTGAGCATTGCCAGCCCCCAAATACACGGCACCTCTAAGCAGGCCAAAGCAAACAGCATTGAACCAGGAAAGGACTCTC